AGCGGGAGAAAGACCTGTCCGCCTACAACTGGAACTCCTTCGGCCTGCGCTACGGCCGGCGGCGGGCGGCTGGGGGGCTTCCAACCCCCCGCTGAGCCGGGCTCGGGCTCGCGGGGGGCCCTGGAGTCGCCGTCCCGGATCAATAAAGGAAACGCTGCCAGCTCCACGCTGGGATGGATATTGGCTAATCTCTGCGAGCCGCCCTGATGAGACTCTTCCCTTTCTCTCCTCTTCTGTTGGCTCTTTAGCTGGTTCTAAGATGGCTTTCGGGTTACCAAGGGCAGTGCTTTGCAAAATAGACGTGGTGAGGGGCCAGGTTGCTTTTTCCCGGGGCAGATCAGTGCTTCACACACACACACACACACACACACTTTCTCTCTCTCTCACTAAAAAAGTGAAAAATTTAAAAATAACTAAAGAGAAGTCAAAACTGGATGCTGCTTGGGGGTTTTAGCAATATCAAATTTCTAGCCCAGAAGGAAGCCGTCTATGAACCAGTAGCAGGTCTTCACTAAAAACCTAATCTGCAGGCGCCTTGATCTTGGACCTCCCAACATCCAGAGCCATGAGAAACAAGTGTTTATTGCTTAGGTGGCCCAGACAAAGGGCCCATTAGGTTCCATAAGCAGTGCTCCCTGAATTCTTAGGTAGGAGAAACATGCAAAGCAACACTGGTGACAAAGCCACATAGCGACTGAGGTTTGCGAAACTGAGACCTGGATAAGAAGGTTCCAAGGCTTGTCCCAAGTCAGGAAGCAGCTGAAGTTGGAGGAAATGGTGTCTGTCTCATAGAAGGCCTGCCTCCCAAAGACCCAACAACAATCTTGTTGACATAACCCTGAGGCTCAGAGTTATTCCCTACTTGCCCCAGGCCAGTTCTGTGGCTCCTGTGGAAGCCACTCAGGGATCGGATCCTGTAAATATAAAAGTTCTGGTCCTTGGATGGGGAACTACATCCTGGAATAGGCCGCCAAAAAATGTTCCTCCTGCCAATCAGGCTAGACCAGGTGTGGTGGCAGAATCAATGGCCTCATCAGAAGACCCCAGGGACCAGAGAGCCAGCCCCCAAATCATGGGCCTTAACACAGATCCAGACACCAATTCAGGTGGGAAGCTGGGCGACCATCTAAGGCCATCCCCACAGCTCACCTAACTTTCCTTTATCGACTATGTTCGTGGGAAGCACCCCTTTTGCAGCCCCAAGTCCCCAGTCCCAACCTAGGACCTGTCACCCTCCCTCCCCCCAATGAAGACCTATATCTTATTCTGTGGGGACAGCCAGCCCCATCTAACTCAGGAGGACCCCCTATGTGGGATCTACTTTGCCCAGGCCAGGGCACCCTGCCACCCTGCCGCAGAGGAACTGTGGCCCCAGATTCCTCCCCAATCAGCCCACTCTACTCCTAGGAGGTTCCTGAAGCCAAGGGGAGCCCCTTGAAGACAGTGCCTGCAAGGTGTTGGGCTTGGGGAGCAGTCACAGGCTCCGGCTCGCTCTAAGCTTTCTCTTCCTGTGTCTGTGGGACCCGACCATGGGAGGAGGGTTGGCACGCCGGGCTCACGTTTCGAGGGGCTGCAAGTCCCAGAGCCCACTCCCCTTTGCCAGGATCTGCAAAATGCAAGGGAAAACACCACAGCTTTCTTGCAGCTTATATTCTTGGAGTGGGGGGACGGGGTGGGGGCAGGGGAGGGAGAAGGGTTGAACAATCAAATAAGTAAAGATGATTTTGAACAGTGACCCCCCCCAAAAATCAAATTGCTATAAAAATTTCTCAATGAGTTCCTCTTCATTCTTAGGCTTATCTCACTGTGAATGGGTAACAAACATTTTGCAGAGGGGCATGGGCCACAGCCCACACTCTGAGTAGCCCTGATCTAGGCCTGGGGGACACAGACGGCTTCAGTACCTCTTCTTTCCTGGGGCAGCTTTCAGCCAGCTGGACAGCTTGACCTGGAAGATGATGCCAACTGCTGCCCTGTCCACTGAGACTTAACCATCACCCAGCCCCAGTTAGACCTGTGCTGGGTGCTCAGCCCCAAGGCACTGAAGCCTCATTGCATGTTCAAGGGGTGTCCACAGTGACCTGGGCCATCCAGGCCCTCTCCCCACAGAGCCCTGGATGGCTCAAGTACTTTACACATATTGCTCACTCTGCATCTTTGAAACCACTCAGGGAGCTGGGCATGTCATTCCAGTTTCCGCAGGGGAGAGCCCTGAGGTTCAGAAAGATAAATGCCTCACTCCAGGCACACAGCCAATGAGAGACAAGCCTAACCAGGCTTCTGACACCTCTCTGAGATGGCAGGGTTTTCATCTCAGCTGTGGTGGACATTGGGAAAGGTCAGTCAGCCTTGTGGGGACATTTCAAGGGCCCCAGTAGCTGAGTTGAAATTTCTGCAGGAAAGGGTAGAGCTAGTCTACTGGGGAAACTCTAGAAAATCCATCCTTCTGCCCACAAGAAAACACAGCCGTATTTGACAGCCTCAAGCTACCTCGGCTCAGTCTAGGATGGACATGCTCCTTCCCACAAGGATTGCGGGGCCCACTACCATCCTGTGAAGCGCCACAGTGTTTCACCCATTATGGAAACCAGGACAGAGTAGGATGGAGTCAGAACCTTGTTGCTATGACAATGAGATAGCCTGTCATGGGAACAGGACAACCTGCCCCAGACCATCTCTACCCCGACACCGTCCCCCAGGATCTCTCAAATCAGTGATCCCGCTGGGAGCTCAGGGCATGGCATGCCATGACAGGGGTGCTGGTTTTATTTGGAAGAGTGTCGCATCCCCGCAAACATCCCAGATGTCTCTGTACCTCAGGGAGAGGAATCATAAACCCAACAACCAGTTTGTTAAGTGAATTATTCTCCTGCTCCCTGGACCAGTCTTCCCCTGATGGAGACTGTGTGGTAGGAAGAGGCTGATCGTCTCTGAAATCTACTCTTAGCCTCATTTTACAACATTCCCTGTGACCTCTCCAACCCTTCCTCAGAGCCTGGGTTTAGACAGACAGAAGGTGGAGGGTGCGTGTGCGTTGCTTCAGGGCAGGAGAGGGAAGCGTGCTCTGTGGTATAAGCAGCTGGGTGGGCGAGGGGGTAAATATGAGAAACTGTGTGTATGTTCATAGATGCGTCTGGGTGACCCTGTGTGTGAGGCGGCCCTTCTAACTACATTTGGGGCCCCATCCGCTCCCGCTGCAACCCAGGGGCCTCCAGGATGTCCATTCTAGCTGACTCAGCAGGCAGCGGGAGGAGAGCTGGGTCTGCCTGTCCCATGTTGCTGGTGCTGGGCCCACTGCCTGTGAGACTCTGGGCTTTGTAGCTCTTGGCCCCATGTCTTGGGAAGAGATCTTTGGTTTCATGAGGCTCCCAGCCTGGCTTTGAACCTGCGTCCTGGATTGGAGGAAGGGTGCAGGGCAGATTGCAGACTATGAGGGGATATAAACATTGCTGGCACCAGGGACTCCCATTCTCCTCTCCAGACTTTCTGGGTAGGCTCAGAGAGCCAAGGCACCAGAGCCATAAGAGCTGGAGGTACGGTTGCCTGGGAGTACTCAAATCCACTCCTTCCTGGGGTCTCTGGACAGTCCCCAAAGGACAAAACACCAGGAAGGCCTGGGCATCGTAGCTGGAAAGTTGTAGAGCTGAGTGAGGTTCACTTTCTAGCTCCACATACCAGTTTTCCTGTGCACTCCAGTCTTTCCTTCCCCCAAGCCCACTGTGGGGCAGGGCTAAGGCTCTTCCTGAGGGCTTTGTCTTGGGATCAGGTCTGGCAGCCAGTGGAACTCCATCCCTTCCCACTCCAAATGTCTTTAACGACAATACAGGTGAAGTCACCAATCCCCAGAGCAGGCCTCCTCCCCTCAAACCTGCCAGGGCCAGGCATCTGAATTTTGACCCTGTCTATCTACTTCTCTCTCTGGAAGCAGTTTCCCCAAGTGCAGACTTGGTCTCAGGGAGGTGACAGAAGTCAAGCCCAGAAAGCGCCATCATGCCCTTCCCTTCAGTGCCTTTGTCCATCTTAAAGGCATCAGAGCACAATATGTCCCCAGCCTTGACTCAGAGCAGAGAGCCTGGGGCAGGAGTTGGTTTTGATTGTTGAAAGAGCCAGGACATAACAGCCCCCACTTTCCTCATCTCCTGCGGTCTTGCTTGCCCAAGTTTTCTTTAAAGCTGTCCAATATAGTCTTTTTTAAAAAAATATGTTTTTATTAATTTTAGAGAGAAGGAGAGGGAGAGAGATAGAAACATCAATGATGAGAGTCATTAATCAGAGGCCTCCTGCACGCCCCCTACTGGGGATCGAGCCCACAACCCAGGCATGTGCCCTGACTGGGAATCAAACCCTGACTTCCTGGTTCATAGGTCAGTGCTCATCCACAGAGCCTCACCTGCCAGGCCAATATAGTCTTAACGACGGTCCCTTCAACATAGTACCTTCAATAAGTGTTAAAAAGTACCACTTTTGCCTGGCCAGGCATGGCTCAGCGGTTGAGCACTGACCTAGGACCCAGGAGAGGACAGTTCGATTCCGGGTCAGGGCAGATGCCTGGGTTCCAGGCTCGATCCCCAGCAGGGGGCGTGCAGGAGGCAGCTGATCAATGACTCATCATCAATATTTCTACCTCTCTCTCTCCCTCTCCCTTCCTCTCTCTGAAATCAATAAAGATACATTAAAAAAAAAAAAAAGGACCACTGTTGACACATTTATGTATGCTTACTCCCTGTGCCCCTCAAAAGACAGCAAAGAAACAAGAGAGGGGCATAAACTCTCAAGGGCAAAGAGAAGGGAGAAGGGACCACAGCAGATGAGAAATGACAGTCAGATTTTGAAGACAGAATTAGATGGCAGGCTTGGCAGAATGAAGGAAGCTACACCCTCAGCTACAAAGGGGGTTCCTGGGGGGACACAATTGACTCACCCCAGGACTGAGTCTCAGTTCTTGGAGGTGTCAGGGATGAATCCTGAGCTGAAAACAGGGTGACAGCGGGAAGTCTATATATGGAGAAGTTAGATTCCCCATGTCCCTTCTCCCCAGCCAACACAGCTGTCCCCCCAGCCCACTGGGAAGAAACTAGAGGTTTCTCTCATGAGG